CAGCAACACCAAACAAACTGCATATGTTAAAGCACAGACAATCGCAGGCCTCCGTCCTCTTCCATTTTCCTAGTCAAGGATATTTATTATTTATATCTTTAAAATTTCTATAACACTTACCCTCTCCTCGGCCTCTGCCCTCCTTCCTTTCAAACCAGCGGAGCCGAGTTCTAGTGAGTGCGCGTGGGATTAGATGCGATTATTACTTTGGACTTGATCGGGTTCTTTTGCTCTCCACCGCTCGTGAACAGTGTCTCAGAAACCAATAAATCCAATTGAGTGAGCTAAACTTATTTGATATTTTTAAAGAAGTTTCGGCGTATATGTAGTTTTCTGAGCAGCGGCATATGCATTATTTTTTCGCAGGAAGGGATCCTTTCTGAGATATTCACTGAGGCATTAAATTAGAGCAAGTTTTTTACTTTCGCAATGGCTCTGCTTTCTCCTTAAAAAGGCATTTTTTATAATTAGGAGGGCGTATGTTTTTTCTACTTACGCTAATTTTTTGGGCGTTGTGAACACTGAAAAAGAAAATAGAAAATTTTAAAACGTCCTCCTTTATTTTTTAAGGAGGCCCTAAGCCATGGGTAGCTTTTAAGTGCAGTTTGCAGCAGTTCTGTTGCAAATAGGAGATAATGGAATTCTCTGTCTCACGCTTTACATACAGAATTTTCCAGGTTGGCAAGGAAAATGTATTCGTTGCGAAGGATCTGATCGAATATGCAGAGGAGCTGGAGCCAGCAATGCGCCATGTATTTGGCAATGTTTTTATATGCACAAGCGATGATGATGCCAAAAGGGTATTGGCGCTTTTCTTAATTTTTTTGTCTTTCCAACATCTAATTTGTTCCAAAAATTTTTGTTACCGTACCTTTTACTGTCTGCGAGAGAGCGGCTGTGAGGGGTGGGGACTGCTCAGCGCAGCTTTAGAAAAATGTACTGTAACTTACATTGTGTGGACGAAAATTTCGGTGCTCCAGTTCTAATAGTGCTGTGGTACTGAACTGACAACGCAAGAAGCGGTGTGAACAGGCGGC